TTGGTATCAAATTTTGGTCTACATAGGTACTCAGTTTTGATCCTTTTATTTTTTTATTTTGAATCACAGGTCCAGAATCTGTACATCACTTAGCAAACTCAATATCAAAACCAATGATCCCAGATATCAAACTTCAATAAAACCCATAACCAAAAAGCTTCGCGATTTTGATCAAACATTGATCTGGAAATTTTATACGGGATATAACAAAGCAAAACATTGGTAAAAATATTTTTACGATTAAATTAAAGGTCATTTTTCAAAACCACAATAAAAACTACTATACTTTCTTGTTCAACTTTTAGTCATCGACCAAATCCTATATTGATAAGTCCCCTCGAGGGACGCTAGAAAATTGGATAAACGATACAGAGAAGATTAGCATGGTCCCTGGACAAGGATGACACGATGCGGTTGAGAAAGTATCTCTACTTTTTTTGCATTATCAGAGAGTTTCTATCTATTCTTGTTGTTGTTACCAATCCAACCTTAATTCTTGCATTAGAATAGTTGCTAATATTTTATTTTTTGGTTTTTTTTTAAAAAATAAAATATTATTTTTTTCCCTTTCTAAGAATCAATTTTCAAATTCTTCTTGTTCAGTTTCTGTGGTCTTCTTGTTTGTCTTGTTGCTCTTCTTGGTGTTGTTTTTTGGAGTTGTTGATATATTTAAATATATTTATTAATCTTAGTAGTATTGTTTTTTGGAGAATATTCTTGTAAATTAAATCCTCTTAATTTATCAAGATAATATTTAGGCTCAGTTAGTTAAAAAAATGTCTACCCAATGTGGAACACTATGGGAACAATTGAATTATTTCACTTAATCATTGGTTCTAAAAGATTTGCAAGACAATGGGTGAAAGTACAACGTTTCTTTTTCAAGAATGATGATAAGGACACTAGAAATTATGATCAAGTTAAGAAGAAGGTATTTAGGATTGAAAAAGACACCAAGCTTAAATTGCAAAACTTAACATTGGCAGAAACTGGACTGCAATTGAAAATTACTGAATCTAACTCTATTAATGAAGAGTCTATTAGTATTTATAATAAGGTTTCAATAACCGAAGAAGAGTTTCAACAAATCTATGAACCTATTATTAAGTATTTTGGCCTAGACCAAGCCATCATGATTACTAAATTTAATATGACGGATACAACCTACAAGTATAACAACAAGACCTTTACCTATATTAAAGGGGATTATTCTAATGAAATTACTTCTACTATTAATATTTCTACTAATAATGTAATAAATTCATTGCTACTAAGTGATGAACCCATTGTAATTCAATTAAGTGAATTATTCAATATTTTCAATAATCAATCGATTGATGGTAATAATGAATCACTTGATCAAAATGATATTAAGGATTTTTATAATATGGAAGAAAGAAAGAATTATTTTCAAAGTATTGATTTAACATGTAAAAAATCCTTAAACTTGAAACAAATGAATCATATTGGTAAAGTGAAGAAGATTTGTAATGTTATAAGTGATGATTCTATTGATATTAATAATTCTATTGACAATATCAAATTAATCCTTCATTTAAAGGAAACAAATGTATTGGATGATTATAAATCCATTATTATTCAATTAAATAATTCAAAAGAAATAGTTAACGAATGGTTTCAATTTGATAAGTTTAAAAAGGACGATTTTAAAATTGCTTCCTTAAAGACTAAACTTCAACTTATCAACTATTCTATTAAAAAAAAATTTAAACTTGAAAAGAATAGATATTTTGGAAAAAACATTCAACTATTCTATCCTCGTAACAATGAACAATTACAATTCTTTCAAAAGGAAATTGAATTCATTACAAGAATATTCAATCTTCCAGAAATGTTATCCATCTACGATAATAACAGTGAGAATGAATTGTATTCTGATAATTTTCAATTTCCAGATGACACACCCTGTATTTACATTATGGTAATATTTGTTAAAGGAAAGTTTTACTTTCAATTTGGTGAAACTTCTTCTTGGATTCGTAGAATGAATAGTTATGATACTGGTGCAGAAAGATTAATTGAAAAACTATTGAGAATATGTGATTTTGCATTTTCTCTTCCTCTAAAGGTCAATATATTGGGAAAGAATGACCGTTTAATAATGGAAGCCAATTATATTGCTCACTATTTAAAACAAAATAATAGACTAACACTATTGTTAGCCAATAACAAGTTGGAATCTAAAATGGACATTGTTACTTCAAATAATGATGATTCCAAGTTTTATAGATTATGTACAACTGGTATCTTACTAAAATCCATTAACAAGTATATTAGATATGGTAATGATCGTATTTCATTTAAATTTCTTCCCTTTCTTGATAGAAATCAAGAACTCTTATTAAGAATTAATATGAATACCTTACTATTAGAGGTTTATAACTTGAGTACAAGTGAATTAATTCTTAAATATCCTTCCATTTTGATATTTAATTCTCAATTCCTAATCTATTGTCCAAATCTTCCAACAAGTTTGAAATTGATATGTGAAAATCAATTTAATAACACTATTCGAAAGAGAGCAATTAACATGTTAATGAACAATAATGGATTGATTGCAAATGATAAGAAATTACCAATTTGTTTCGATTATACATTCCAATCAATTCAAACTCTTGACCATTGTTGTTTG